GAAGTACCTACATATTATAAGCCATTTTGAAAAAGGAATAATATTAAGAATGGTAGCTTACTTATAATTTTATATAATAAGGAAATTTTCTCTTTCTTTGAAAAAAATTTCAAGTGGAATTATCTGTCATATTCGTATATTTACTTTATAATTTTAATTTACGTATGTATATATTTAAAAAAAAATTTCTTATTACCAGCAAAGGGTATATCTTATTATTGTTATCAATGTGAAAGAAAGATAAAATAATCTTTAGAAAATTTTTGTAAATGTAATAATTATAAGAGAATTTTTGGTTAGTGCTGCCTTTACTCGACAATAACATAACTTCAACCTTCAATTAGCTTTTTTGGATAATTATTTTGTTAGAGTAAGAGAATTGAGAATAATAATAAAATTTATGAGAAAATTATTATTTTTATTTCTCAATGAGTAGATACTTCTTTGCGAACTGTTGAGCTATTTTCTTCAAATATCGTGATGGTAAATTTTTAAGAACAGAAAAATGAGAAATTTTTTTATCATATTAATGTTTAAATACAATTTCTTATTAATTTTACAATGAGGAATACAATTATTATTATAAACAACAATAATAATATAAGTATGCAATCGAATTTGATTATAAAAAAATTTCATATTCATAATTCAGCAAAAATAATATCCCCTTTTGCAATTAGGACAGTAATTGCGAACAACGTGAATTGAACGTGTTCTATATTAATATTATATACTATAAGAAAATTTTTAATATTTGCCTACACTAACACACTAATTACATATTTGGAAAAAATGATCTTTGTGCCACAAAATGTTAAAAACTTCTATTTTAGATAAATTGTCTGAAACATTTTATTTAATATACAAGTACTTCCACATTATGCATACATTCATGCAAGCATTTTATTGTTCATTATCTACACACCCCTATTATTTGTGTACGTATGTATAGATAATGAAGAATAAATTTGTGCATATGTAGAAAAATATTACAATATAATGTATTTACATTTCAATATACTAAAATACTATTATATAAGTAAGTATAACAAATCTAATATAGCTACATAATATGTAGATTTTCGTTTGAAGATATTTTGAAGATTTTAAAATTTTATATTACGATTTTTAATTTATATTTTATAACATTGTTGCACATTTTTTTATATTTGTGTATGTAGAATACTAATATTTGTGCATGTGTGTGTTTGTGCAAGAATAAATATTGCATTTGAAAATAAACTTTTATAATTCTTGAAAAGTTGCAAATAAGCTTGTGTATTTGCAGTTTAATTTTCCTAAATTTTTATTTTATTTTTTCTTTTTTTTTTTGCTTTTGTCAAAATGTTGTCTTTGATGAAAATAAATTCTTCATGTTATTTCCTTTCTTTATACTATTAATTTTATGAGTATTTCATGATAATAGAAATGACATTATTTTAAAGAAAAAATTTTGTATAATAAAATTTTTAGGGTGTTTTCCATGAATATTTGCATTATGAAGTGGAACAAATTTTTTTCTAATGCATTTAGTAAAACCAACAATTACTAAATTTTGTGGTAATACTAAAATAAGTAAAATTTCCAAAAATAAATTTGTTGGGTTCGATAATTGACTACATTAATTATTAACACTAACGCATTTTCTCTTACAGATATTTGAGCCTAAACTGAATTTAACAATATTATAAAGCTTTATACCATAAATTTCTTAATTGTTCATTCTACCTATACCTACTTAATTTCACGAGATATTTATATAATACGGGCCATTATATTGAAGTTTAGTAATACAAAATAAATAATTCGATAATATTGCAGATATAAATTTATAAAATTAAATTTTTAAAGCTGTCAATGGCGTATTACATTCAAGAATTTATAATATTCTGTGACTCGTTTCTAAAATTAATTTCGAAACAATCAATGGTAGATTACAGTCAAAACCTTATAATATTCTGTAACAACACAAAATAACAAATTTTCAAAGCTACTAGCGTCAGTAAACAGTCAATACTTTTTAATATTCTGTGATCCCTTTCTAAAATGAATTTTTAAATAGTCAAATAGTGGATTGCCGTCAATACCAAATTATGAAACAGTCAATGGCGAATTACATTCAAGATCAATATTCTGTGTCTCAAATCTAAAATGAATACACTGAAACACCCCTGTTCATACAATATTATTATGTGTACATTTTAATGGTTTTCTATATTTTTCTTCTATATAAATCTACGTAATATTATACAAAATAAAAATCTTTATATAATATCGAAATTTAAATAACATTGCATACATACTTTTATTGTTATACAAAAAAAAAATATAATATTTTTCTTTTTTAAGTTGTTAAATTCAGTATTTATGACAGAGTAGTATAATTATACACACATATAATAATATTAATTCAAATACACAAACTCATATATATAGGTACATATATAAATTCATTAAAAAATAAAGTGTAAATAAAAGTTTTAATTAAATTTAAAGATTATTTCAATGAATAAATATAAGGTTAACCTTTTTTTTTTCATTATAATATTATTGTATTTGCTATAATATTATACTATAGGATAAATAACATTATTATCTATGCAAATAAGTATATACCCCCATACATGTATAATTATAATAATAAGAGTTATACATAAACAATGTTTGTATGTACATAATAAATTTACAATTAATTAATTTAAAATTTAAAAATATTTCGAGTGTTTTAATTTGATTTTTTTTCTTTTCGAAAAAATCTGCGAAAAAATTCTCTCATGTCATACAAATTTTTTCTTTTTTTTGTGGTAAAATATTTATTTTAGATTATACAAGTATAATAAAAGTTTTAAAAATTTTAAAAATATTTTAAAGTGGTTGATTGAGCCACGAAATATGGCTTAAATTCAATAGTGTTATACATAAAATACCGGGTATACTCATACATATTATAAAATAAATTCAATAACATTATAATTATCATGAATTTTATTGAAATAATGTAAAAATTTTATAAACTATTATAATTCATCAATATATTGAATTATATTTATGTATAAATAATGTGAGCATATTTTAAAATGTAATTGAAAAATTGGGTCAATTATATTAATAATTTTCAAAATAAATTCATAAATTTAATGTTTAATGTACTAAAATTTTTAAATTGTAAAAGAAAATTCAATTTTCGAAATCAATAAATTTTTTAGTGGTTAATAATGACAAATAAAAATATTTTTGTAAGCCACGAATAAGTGGGAATTGATTAAGTGTTAAGGTGATCCAATTGCACTTAAAAATAACGTGATCCATTTGAAATTTTATTAAGAAAATTCATTTAAGGGTTACATGAACCACAAATAATATGAGTATGACTAAAACCTCAACATGACATTCAAATATGAATAAAAACCAAAATCAAAATTTATATTTTTTTTTAATGAATATTGTTCTTTTTATCTTGAATTGATCTATTATTCTGGTTAATAATTTTCTTTGCTTAAATATTTCGCTATTTGTAAAATATTTAATTTTCAATAATAATGAATTAAAAAAAAATATAATTAATTAATTAGAAAAAATCAATTATATTAAACAGGACATTTCATTTTCGACTAGCTTTAAACGCGCAAATATTTTATTGAAGAAATTTCATTGAATTAATATTTACGCATAATCGATTTTTATTGCATAATTTTAGGGCAAATAATAGTAATGAAGAGGAATTATTAATAATTATTGTAATGACTGTACTAGCACTACCATTATAATGAATTGTTTGTTGAAAAATTATATTAAATAAAGTTTCCATTAGGTTTAGAATTTTAAAGAAATCACTATTTGACATAGGCATTGACGCAAAAACTCTACTATATGGTCAAGTTTATCGATGTTGCTCAGTCTTATATGATAATAGTATTTAACAGTTTTAAGAATTTGACTTTATAACATTTTAACTTTAAATTTAATGTTACAGATGCAAATAGTTATTTTTGATCATTAAAATTTCTAAAATTTATATAAAAATCATGTAATTTTTGAAATTCAATATAAAATCCAAATTTAATGTAAATCAATATTTTTAAACTAATTAGATTTTTCATTTTTTCTCCAATTTTAATTAAATGATGGAAAAATGAAACTTAATTACGAAAAAATTTAGATATTTATTTCATTTATAAATAATATTGAGAAAAAAAAATTTAAATGAAAATTTAGAATATAGCGAGGATAAATCAAGGTCTCAGGAATCAACGTAATGCTATCAAAATTGTTGTAATGATTCATTTTCATTCATTATTATTGTTTTTTCTTTTATTTTGTGGTTTATAAATTAAATGATTTTCATTAGGAATTTCAATCTACTCTCTGTAATTAGTTTTAAAATTAACAGCGATTATATCATCAATGCTTAATTTCAGATGGCGTCGAGGATTTTATTTTAAAAATTTATGTTTGAAATAGTGATTATAATCCATTTTTATCTTCACTCATGCTCTAGCTTATTACTAAATAATCGTCTCGTTATTATTCACAATCTGCATTTCGAAACAATAAAAAATATATTTGCTTAAAAATTTTAGTTGTAGGTAATTAATTTTGAAAAATTTCGCATAATTAAAATTGATTATCTGAGTAACTTTAGTTGCTAATGTTGTACTTGGAAAAAATTTTCCGAAAATTTGTCAGGGAAGGCGATGAATAAATTAAATAAAGCTTTATTTTATATAACTACAAAAAGTAAAATAATTTCTCATTAATTATTGCTCTTCTAAAATCATTTCTTAAATAATAAACTTTAATAAACTATCGTAGAACATATTATGAACCGTGTTATATCATCTGGTCACGCATATTTTGCCACTTTAGCAAACCACGATCATGCCATCAAATTTATTATTGAAAATTTTGAAAAATTAATTAGTTTTTAATTTATAAGAAATTTTAGTTAAATTAATAATTTTTCATTATATAAATTTTTTTATTTTTTTTTTTTTTTGCAGATTTAATTCTCGGACTTAGAGATGTATCTGTAACAGTACCAACAGCAGTTAAACGTGGTGATGATGCACATCTTATATGTAATTATGATATGGAAAATGATACATTATATTCTGTTAAATGGTATAAAGGACGACGAGAATTTTATCGTTATACACCAAAAGAGAATCCAGCTATGAAAATATTTCCAACAACTGGTGTTAATGTAAAAGTAAATATTAATTTATTATAACTATTCTTTTAAATTTATTAATTAAATATAGAAAATAAATAAAGTATTATGATCATTTTGCAATTTTACTAAAAGTAAAGCCTTTTGTTTATTAATTAAGCAAGAGAAAAATTTTGCAAAAATTTTTGTTATTTACAGCTTAGTTAATTAATTATTGTTGAAATTTCACTGCAATATCAAAATCAAATATTATTTTGACAACTGATTTATCTCCAATTTCTATCTTATATTTTATTATTATAAAATTTTGAACAATTTCAATACTACTCAATGTCATATTATAGTTTAAAATGATTTTTATCGTCCAGGATATTATTTTTCACTTATCATTATAAATAAATTGGAAATTATACTTAAAATAACGCGTTCAAATGCAATTTCTATAATATTGAATTATCAGTAAAAAACTGTTAAACTTCGAAAAATGAGAATTCAACTCTAAAGCTCATTCCATATCAATTATTACCTTTATATTATATACAATATGAAAAAATCTAGATGACATTATCAATATTATTATCTGCGAATCTAATAAAAAAAAAAAAATTAAGTTAAAATTTAAAATCCAATTTTTAACGACCGAATTGCATGCTATAAAGCAGGTTATATGATGGCACCAAAGGAAGCATATAGGGAAGCGTAAATAAACTATTTTCATAGAGATGTCGCCCTATCTGCCTATCAATTTGTCGGTCTGTCGATTGGCTATATCTCTACCTGTCGATCTGTCTGCTTCTCTATGTGACTTCATTTTTGATATGTCGCAGATTGATAATTTTTTAGGATATATCATGCGTCGAGAACTGAACATTTTTGCACGTATAAAAAGAAATAGTCAATCGATTTCCTTGAAATATAATATTTAATTTTGGGATCTTAAACCAATAAACCTATAATTTTTTTTTGCCCCTGATTCAGAAATCGATTTTCTATTTTTCACGATATCTATAAGGGATTTAATTGATGAAATTTTTAGAAATTTCTTGAATGTAAAAGTCGAAGATTTTGAGAGCATTTGAATAGCGCAAAGCGAAATTCTAGTAAGATCCAAATTTACGTTAAACAAGGTATATCAACAAAAAGCTTACCATCGACCTTAAAATTGAGAAGAAGTGTTCAAATGGCATTTTCATAGCCATATGCAACACTTTCGCTTAACTAGACAAGCCACATGGCAGTCGATTATGTGCTGACCACCTTAGAATTTTGTTTTTTAATATTGTATTTTATTTTATTATAAAATAAAAAACCTTATTGACAGCTCATAAACACTTGATTATTTACGCTTAATAACAATATGCATTCAATATAATATTTTGTTAAAATTTTTAATTAAATTCAAAAATTATATTTATTTTTCTGTTTTGCAATTTCAATTACTTTGAGTATAGATATGCCTACATTGAAATCTTTATGATTCTGAATAAATAAAAATAATAATGATAATAATGATATAAGTGGAAATAATTTTCACCTGCATAATTTTTAATGAAAAAAAAACACACACACATTTTATAGGATAAATAAAATATTATTTTTATGAAATTGAGTACCAAACATTTTAATTTAATTATTTTATTATATTTTTATATTATTATTTTTATTATTCTAAATAGCGCTATTCAATGAATAAAAAAATCATTAATAATTACAACTCAATCATTATTCAAATTAAATTTTTTCATTAATTAAATTGATGTTGAATTTGTTTTCTTTTTAGCACTTTTCCAAAAAATTTTTGAAAAAAAGTCCTTATTAGTTTCACTCTGTCCTTCCGTCCCTGTGTCTGTTTATGAAATTTCTGCACCCTTGAATATAGAAAGCTGAAATTTAATATGTACATAGATCTTTACAAGAAACTTATTTCTGTAGAAGAAAATTTTTACGTATCTCCCCCCCTCTAAAAGTTATACCCCCCCAAAACCCTAAAAATGCCATTTTTTAACTGTTTAGTGCAGTGAAACCATAAGCATTTTTCAAATTTTGCAAACGTAGAAAGGCAGTGGCTTCTTTCCCCTAGCGCGGTATACTATAGCTAAACTTCAGAAAAACAAAATGGCCGTTCAAATTTACCGTTATATAAAGTCCGTTTTTTCCAAATTTTTGATGTCATTTTTCTTCAAGACACCAGCCTGTAGAAGCTTAAATGATTTATTTAGTTAGAAGAAAATTTTTTTCCATCTCCACCCCCTCTCAAATTATCGAATCTTGAAATTTGTAAAATTTGAATATTTGACGCCTTATATTTCCGAAACCGCAAGTTTTTTCAAATTTCTATACACGCAAAAAGCTAACGGTAAATTCCATAACATCACTGGATAAATCGTTCATCCTAAATATATGTTATCCTAGAAATAGTTTCGTTTGTGAATGAAAATAATTTTAATAGTGTGGTAGGTATACATAGACTGTATTTAAAAGCATAATTTTCACTTGTTTAAGGGAAAAGTGCTACAATACAAACCATTGGTTTGACCCAAATTTATTTTTTTATTAAATATGAAAAATATTTCACATGATAATGTTACGACTTTTAATTTCAATATTCAATAAATTAAAAAGGTGAGGGAAAATTCTGATTAAATATAATCAGGGTAATGATTTTAATTGTATTTAATAATGTAATAAAATAATAAATTTAAATCAATAATCTATATAGACCTTATTAATTACATATGTAGTGAATTCGAACCTTAATTATAAAGGATATTAAAAAAAAAACAAAACTTGTCAAAAAAAAATTTTTTTAATAGAATTTGGTTTTTTTTAATTCAGATGCTTATTTGACAGAAAAGTAAGGGAAAGAAAATTAATGGGATGAATATAGCCAACTATATTGTAAGAATTCTATTCCACTTAACTTAGCGAAATAGCTATTTGCATAAAATATATTTTATAGAATGCATAGTAGACCTGAGCATTCCATTCGATTTTCAAAAATATTTTTATCTGAAACCGCCCTCGCTTATAATAACAGAAAATAAAAGATTTTGCTAAAAACAGTTGATTTGAACTGTTACATATAGAGATAATTTGCGAGGCAGATCATTATCCTGGCATACTTATCAATCAAAAAATGTCCTCTATATGATCTAAATCAAGTTTTGTTCAAAAGTTTTTTTGTCGCTTTACCTGTTTTTGCACTTATTTGTTTGTTATTGGCTAACTCTATTTGTGCTTTGTATTAACTTAAACTTTAAAAGTATGCGCAGATTTATCGTTTTAAAGGGAATCACGGAGGCTCTCCTACAAGCTCAACCGTCTTACAAATTCTTTGATCCTTATATTGTAGCCAGATACCCATATACAACTCATTTTCAATTGATTTTCCATATTGTTAAAAAATAGCTCACACGCAATTTAATTTGTTCTGGATTTGAAGCCTGCTTGTTTATACTTTAATGTTTAATAAAATGACATTCCGTATGACTTGCACCGCTAAATATGTTGAATAAATCAATAATGTAGGTACTTAGAATTTTAGAAAATATTTTAATATTTCTGTGCATATTTTAATACTCTGTACATAAATTAGCCGCGTAATTCTAATTTTTGAATTATAACAATTAAAATCAAAATATTTTTCTTTGTACTATGCATAATAATATCATCGTATAACATTTTAATTTGTATTATACAATAATTAATTTAAATTAATTTTATTTAATTAAATTTTGTTTAATTATACTTATTTTTTTCTCATTTAATAAATTAAATGTGCGTTAATAGAGTGTGTTCAATCAATTGTATTAATTAATATAATAAAATAATTGATATTATTTATTAATTTTTTTTTTAAGAATCAATGTCATATTTGCTATTTAAATTTTTTATAAATATTATTCAATTTAATAGAATTGAAGCGCTAAAACAAACTCCAGAAACAACTCTTAATTTTTAAATTAAAATTAAATTTCTGTAAAATTAAATTTTCCTTATAACATATTAGTTTCCAATTTATCAAACTTGTGTAGTATACTTTAAAGAATTTTAATTAAAAATATGGCTTATTGAAGTAAAAGTTTCCGTATAACTATTTGCAGCAAATGTCATCAAATCAAAGTCATGTAACATTAACAAATGTTCAATTAAATTTATCTGGAAAATTTAGTTGTGAAGTATCAGCAGATGCACCATCATTTCATACAACAATAGTTTCTGGAAATATGGAAGTTGTTGGTATGTTAACCACCTCATTTACATATTTCAATTTTCATAATAAAATTATAGTCTTAGTAACATCTTCCACCGCGTAAATTCATATAGCTGCAAAAAAAATAATTGAAAAATTTGGTTTTTATTTTTTTTTTCAGAACTTCCTGAACAACGTCCGATTATAACGGGAATTCATTCACGTTATCGAATGGGTGATTTAATAAATGGAAATTGTTCATCAGAATTTTCTAAACCGGCAGCAAATTTAACATGGACAATAAATGGAATACAGGTATATTTTAATATTTTAATTTAATAATATTATTCTTTTATAATATATATGATTTTTGGGGATTATAGGTGATGCCAAATCAAGTTAAACATTTTGAAGTTCAAAAGAATCCAGTTGATAATTTAGAAGCATCAGTTGCTGAAGTCAGTTTTATTGTAAATCATTTACAATTTATACATGGTCGTCTTAAGGTAATCTTATTGCAATATTCTGATTAGATTTTAAATTTTAACAAATAAATTTCGAATTTATATTGTAATTTTCAGTTAAAATGTTCAGCCAGAATACATAATATTTATCAACAGGAATCAGAAAAAATTATTGAAGAAGATCGCCCAAGAATTTTAGCATCTGGAAGATCACCCGAATTAAATAATTTATATCCATTTGATCAACAATCTGACGGTGAGTTTCCAGATCCAAACGAATATTATTATAAAGGTAAGATATCTTGTTAGGTTGGACCACCAGAACATCTTTATACACTATTGTTATTCTAATAAAGTGTATAATAATTTTCAATGAAATTTTTTTTTCGGTTTCCCTTGGTTTCGTTCGGGATGTTATAAAAAATTTTAATATTTTATCTGATATTAACATGTTGTCTTCCAATTATTAACTTAAAGAGCTGTAATTCGACAGTTTGATATTATTTCTGCTGGTCTCATTGAAATTTACCCATATTAGTTTGTAATATCTAATAATTTAACGTTATTATGCGAACTCTTAATAGTGTTAAATAATTTTCCATCTTTGTTATTGAAAATTCACCACTCACTAATTCCACAATAATTACAATGTAGTTTCAGCAATATTATAATTAAATATTATTTTAAATCAAATTATTTATTATTAACTAATTTATTACTTAATACTTTTTCTTTTCTTTTTTCCTAATTTTTCCATACATAGAGACAAATTCAGCTAATTCATTACTTAAATGTAAAAATAGTTATACATTTTCATCAATATTTTCTACATCAAAAATTACTATGATGGGAAAATTTATTTTAATTATAAATGTAATATTAAAAAATTTTGGAATATTATTAATTTCAACATTAATTTCAATTATATTTTTAATAAATAATTATAATTTAAATAATTTTTTAACAATAAATTTGTTGAACAATAATTTTAAATATAATAATAATAATAATATTAAGAGAAGTCTAAATGTAAAATTAAATAATGTTAGTTATAATAATAATAATAATAATTTATTAAAATTAAATGAAATAAATGCTCACTCTAGTTCGTCAAAACAATATAATCAATTTAATAATCGTAATCAACAACCAGAACAACAAAAACAACAAAGGCCACAACAATTCCAAATTGAATCACAAGTGAACCAAAGTTTACTTAATTCATGTCAAATCTCTTCTTGATAAACAAATTCATTAATATTATTAATTAATAATATTTCTTTATAATTATAAATTATTATAATATTGTATAAAATATTAATTATTTATAAAACAGAATCATATAAAAAAAAAATATAATGCCAAGTAGTATGCAAAAAATATAAAATAAAAAATTGAACGACTGAAAATATCTTATAATAATAATTATTATAATATAGAGCAGATGATAGGAATAAATAATATTTAAAATAAAATAAAAAAAAAATTAAATAATAATTAATATATTTAATCAATTAATTTACAAAATTAATTTTCAAATTATTTAAAAAAATAAAACAAAATTGTTTAAAAAACAATTTTCAATATAAAACAAAGGCAAAGCAAATTTGTGTATAAAAAAAGAAAATTTATTTTAAATAGTGTTTTTTATTGTAATTATAATTAACTTCAATCAAAAGAATAATAATGATAATAACAATAATAACAATAATATTTCTATAATAATGATAATTAAAATATTATCCATAACAATAATAATTGATTATTACGCTAATAATAAAATTATATTAATAATGACAATAGAAATTAAATAATAACAAAATGATATTAATTATTATATTAGCAAATTATGTAATAATATTATAGTAATAATGATAGCTCACATTAATGAGTTTATTTTAATACATTATTACTGTATAACTAATAATAATAATAAAAATAATGAATTAAAATAATATTATTAAATAGCCTAAAATAATTATTACACGTTTAATTACGTATAAAATATTAAATTAAATGTTTTATTTAAAGAAATGTAAATATATTTTATTTTCGAGTGATCCAAAACTTATATGATAATTTAAATAAATAATACAGACTGCATTAAAAATAGTTTATGGCATTAAACAGTACAAGTCAAACGCAAATCAATAATAATAAATTAAAGGCAGTAAAAAATTTTATGGCTCCATAAAAAAAAATTACACTATAAACACGAATTTGTATGCAAAATTTTGAAATTTTGATAAAATTTTCTCCATAATCTATAATATTTACATATTACGTTAATCGCAAATTAGTATAAAAATTAATAGCATTGAATTTATTCAAAATTCATAAAGTTTTAAAAAAATTTTTCGAAATACACAAGAAAATATTTCATCATACTATGGACTCGTCTTTTAAAGTAAATATTGTACGGAGTCATGTTATATAGTATAACTATATAAATAAAAATCGAACTATGAATTTTAAGTTAAAAAAAAAATGATTGTTGTGCGATCTTCTGAGACTTTATTAGAACACATTCATTTGATTATTGGAATAAAAATTCATGATTAATGAATAATACTATACTTTAATAGTTCTCATTAGAAAAATAATTTTTTTTAATATAATGAAAGTAATTTTGTACAAGATTGCGATATACGCAATTTCTTTCAAGTTAAAATCAATATTTTGAAAAATTCTAATTAAAAAAACATTATTTCAACCTGCAAATGCTCAAATTCATTGGGAATTCGTATTATGCATAGTTCATTTGGTCAAATTTCTCAATAATAATAACAATATAACATTGCCCTCAAGGCGATTCCTAAAATAATAGGAAAAATAATAATACTGCTCACAATATTTTTGCAATAAATTAACTAGCTCTGTTGTAATAAAATGATTTTATCAATTATAATAATAATATGCATTTATTAAATTAATGGCCTAATTTTTAACAAAAAAATGGATCACTTTTTCAGTACTTAATTAAAAAAAAATTGTAAATTAATAACCATAAAAATATATGTGTATATTTATTAAAATTATTAACAAAAAAATTGAAATAAATAAAATAATAATTAAAATTTCAATTTAAATAATATAAAAACAAAAACAAATAATTAAATATTAAAAAATATTAATTATTTTGTTATTAAAAAAAAATAATAAAAAAATAATAATATTATGTTGTTAATAATTGTTTAATATAAACATTAATAAAAAATTTTATAATAAAAAGCAAAACAATATTAGGAGGAAAAAATAAATAAAAAGAAAGAAAATATTAAAAAAACTTCAAAAGAATTCGCAAAATATATTAAAAAAATTAAAAGTATAGCAAAAAAAATTGATAACATTAAAAGTGAAAATTAATTAAAACATAACATTAAAATTAAAAAAAAAGAAATATGAAAAATCAAAGCAAAAAAGAAAAATGCAAAAGCTAGAATTTAAAATAAAAAAAGAGCCGTAAATAAAATTTATAAAAAATAATATTAAAAAAAATTTTTGTAAATAATTCATTGTAAATAAACACAATATAAATTGTAATTTATAATAATTATAAAATAAGTATAAATATAAGAAATAAATTATAAATACCTTATGTAAGATTATGTAATGCAAAAAAGCAAATTATTAATTATGAAAAAATAAAACAAAAAAAATAAATGGTAAATATCAATAAAATAAATAAAAATGAAAATGGAAGAAAATCAGGTTTAAAAAAATAGTTTTTGAAAAAAAAAACTGAATAAAAAATTAATAGTAAAAAATATTAGAGGGTAAAATTAATATTAATTGTAACTCATATTTTCTCTCTCTAATTAATTAAATTATGAAACCAATTTCATTTTTTTTCTTTTTTTAATATTCTCGCTCTACACACCAGTTTTTATTCTAAACATAACAATTGAAGAAAGATAAAGTTCAATTGATTGTAATACAATTCAAGTAATATTACTTTAAAATAGAATTAACAAGGATAGAGATAAAACAAAGAGACAAGAGAAAAGAGATAAGACATGAGAGAGAATTTCTACTTTTAAAGGTAGCTTACCAAGATTGTTCTTAAATCTTAATAAAATCTTCTCTCTCTCTCTCTCTCTCCCTCCCTCCCTGATACTTTAAAATTTTATCAATATTTTCTAATGCTGTGGAAAAAAGCTTTTCAAGTTGTAGGACTCACAAAATTATATTCCCGTATGTTACATAATATACCCGGTAGTGTTGCCATTTTGATTGAGAACTCCAAATGGAATTTTCCAACCAATTTTACTTAAAATTTTTTTTTTTGTATACCCTCAAAATTTTATATACAACAGAACAACAACGCAACCTAATGTGAAATTTGTAATAAAATGTTTAAAGTTTTTAGTTAAATTTTGCCCCATTAATTTCTTCATGATACTCAATTATTTTATTACACTAGACTCAATTTAATACTTTACTCCATTTTTATTATTATAAAGACTATCTCACCTTTATTATTATTACATTTTATGTTGTTCATTTAATTTTATTCTTTTTTTAATATTATACCTTGAGTAGTTTTATGAGCAACTAATTGCAAATTGAATATTTTGATTATGCCTACGTTTTTTTTTTTTTTTACAAATATTTTTTGTTTAACCTCTAATATTAGACAATTTATTATTAAAATATTTTACGAGTATTTATAAAATGTTAAAATAAAAAACAATTGTAATATACACACATACATACAACATACATTCATAATATAAATAACAAATAAAAAAAAATTAAAATTTAAAAATGCAAAGTATAAGATAATTACAAAAAAGAACAAATTATTAAAATTATCATAATGACAATGTATATATATAAAAATAATAAAAATACAAAAAAAAAAGAGAAATAATATATTAATGAATTTATAAAAAAAAATAAAAAAAAAAAAATTAAGAGCAAAAAAATATTAAATGTTTTATTGTATAGAAATCTTGCAACGCTATATTAGAAAAAAAAAAAACTAAATAGTTTACATAAATTTATGTATAATTATTAATTATTATAAATAATATTTAAAAGTAATATTTATATTTTATTAATATATTTAATTAATTATGTAATATATTTATATATAATAATAATTGTATAATTATAATTATTTTAAATTATTTATATTATTATACGGTATAACAATAATAGTTATAATTAAAAAAATAACGTATTTATGTAAAATATATATTTATATTCCATATATAATTTTATTTACATATAAAAATATAATTAAGAAAAGAGAAAATTTTAGGAATTATAAAAGCAAATGAAAAATAATTAATAATAATTAAAATTATAATAATTATTAAGTTATTAAAATTATATAAAAAAGGAAAAGAAAAGAAAAATAAATAAAGCGATTAAACGGGAATAAAAAATTATTAATATATGAGAAAATCGAAAATAATAAAATTATAATAAAAATGAAATTAAAAAATTAAAAAAAAAAAAATAATTTAAAAAATAGTAATAAAAAAAAAACAGAAATATTCAAATCCATAGATTATTATTGTGTCATTATAAAATAATATAAAAGAAAATTCAAAAAATTAAACAAGATAGTAAAAATACAAAATAAAGCAAAAAAAAAAAAAAATTAACAAAAAAAACAAAAAAGTAATTTATTTTACATTTTCGAATGAATTGCTGTGAGTAATAAAAAAAAAATAAATACCATGGAATATTGCTAAAAAAAAAAAGTATAAAAAAAAATATTGAAGAAAAGATGAAAAAAAAAAGACAAAAAATAAATTAAAAATAAATAAAAATAATTTTTGTTGTTATGTTTTTATGTTAAATGAATAAAACAAGGAAAAAAAAAACTGAATAAAAAAATTTATACATAAAAAAAAATTTTACTTTTTTTTTTTTTTCTCTCAAAAGTTTAGGTTCCATTCAGCAAGAGTCTGAAAAGCGTTCACAACTAACCCAAATAATAGCGATAATAATAGTATGATATTAAAATGTTGAAAACAATGTTTTTCACCATATGGTGAAAAAAAAAATTGTTCTTCACCATATGGTGAAAAATTGATTATTCACCATGTCAAGAAAAGCGTTTGCATTATACGGTGAGAAATTGGCTTTTCACTATAATTTTTTTCTGCTCCTCTCATCATGGGACAATCGCATGGTATCATAAGAGTCACTGAGTTTTACTAGGCATTGACCATATAATTATTATTCTATATTTGTTGCTTCAATATCGTCGATTATTATGGATAAAATAATGATATAATATAAAATATTTATAATATAAATATTACATTTTATATAGTATTGTATAATTATTGTAATAATTTTTATAGCAATCTGCCCAGAGTTTCAGACCCTTCAGTTAAAGGATAGGTGACGTCATAATCCCAGTACAATTGGTCAGAATGATCATTCATTCTACGAAAGAAATATAATAATTCAAGTATATGTATACAATTCCATAAAACAATACTTACATTTTCTTAACCCAGTCTCGTTCATTGTCTGGCTTTAATTCTAATATTATTTTCTGACCACAGAAACTCTCAAAAAAGGCTATTACCTTCAAATAAGATTTCCTTCATAGTTAAAACACT